CTCCTCATCACATCCACCTCACGCTGTCTGCGAATAGCTCCATGCCAGCTAAGAGCTGACCTGGCTCTCACCTCCCACTGTGCCCTAGTTACAGGATGAGGGCACCGTTTGCAGAGAGAAGTGCTGGCTGAGCCCAACATCCCTGTATTTTTTCCAAGGGACTAATTGCAAGGCTAGCTGAATGGAATTACTTGGAGTTGAGCTGACATTTCCCTTGGTGTTCCTCATTGGGCTTTTGGGGCATGGAGCAGTGTGGGAACCAGAATGATGCCTGCCATACACCAGGCTAAAGCTTCCCATCTTGTGTAACACGGTCCCTAATCCAAAAGCCCTCAGTAAGGTTCCATCTCCTCCCAGATGAGGCCTGGGGCAGGCAGGGACTGGGGTCACCTACCCGATGTTGAAGTGTGGGGGCATTCGGGGGGTGTACCCTGTACCCCCATGTCCCAGCTCCAGCCCTGGGTGATGCTGGGGGTCAGTGGGAGCCCCAGGCAATGCAGGATTTTATCCACTAGGAGGATCAGGAGGTTGGATGCCATGGAAATGGCACACAGAGCTCTGTGTAGCAGGTCCCAGATCTGGACATGGGCACTGGTCTCACACTGAGCCCAACCCTGATCCAGGACCCATTCCAAGACCCATCCTGCTTCAGCTATGCTCAGCACCCAGTCCTGGCAAGGCTCTTTTCAAGCAGGAACATGGCTTTGCCCATCAGGGGATTTCAACCCTTTTGCAGTGCTTTCATTCCTGGAGAAACTGTTTCCACCCTGATGGCTCCAGCTCCAGCCCTGATGCCTTTCCTCCACCCCCTGTGCCATCCCTGCTGAAAACGGTTCTTTTTGGCATCTGCAGATGCTGGGGCAGTGTTTAAGGTTCTCCAAGCCCTGTATCCTCCTCTGCTAGCCTAAATCCCTGGAGCAGCATCCATTGGGCTAGGGCCACCACCTGCAGTCCATCACCCCAAATCCTGCCTTGTTTGCTGATGCATAGCTTGGAGAGGGGAACCACCCCCATAAGTCTGCCTGCTTCTGGGAGATACTGAAAGGCAGTGCCCCGCTTTGCTGCTTCTGGGAAGAGCTCAGCTTCCCCGCAGCCACGCTTGCCTTTGCTCTCACTTCTGCTTCATCAGCTCCGCTTTCCCCACTGGGAAGCCTTCCGATGGAAACCAGCTGATGCTGCCCAGCCGCTGGCCAAGGGGAGGCTCCGAAGTGGGGGGAAAGGATGCGGCCGTTCCTGTAAGCCGCCCGTGCCGCCCCGTGCCGAGGTAGCGGGAGGAGGGCTCGGCTGGCACTTGCCCAGATGCGAATGCGTTCGGAGGAGTGACTCAGCCCTGCGGTTTTCCTCCCTTCCTCACCAGCGGATTTGACTCCCAAAGAGCTCCATGGCTGCTGGCAGCAGGGCGAGGGGGCACCCCTGCCTCCCTGTGCCCCCCTCTCCTCAGCCCTGCTCCATCCCACAGGCACCCTCAGCCCCAGCCATCCGTTTTGCTTCCTCTGCAAGGCTATGTGGGGATGGGGAGAGCTGCCAGTATCCATGGACCAGGGCTGGAGGGGAAACAGGAACCTTGAGGGGAAAAACAACCCAAGAAACTCCCTTCCCCCCCAGCCCCCAGACATGCTTCCTCTGGGGCTGCCAGCACAAAGGGGACTGGCTTGTGCTGCTGGAGCATGTTTAGTGGGGAGCTGCGTGGGGTATGTGCTGCCTTCAGCATCTCTTTGGCGGCAGGAGTTGCCCCAGAGGGGTAAATGCTGTGTCTGGTGGTTGAACTCCAATGCATGTCCCTCCTTCATTCCCACTTCTGTCTGTCCTGGTGATTTACAAAGTCTCACCCAGTTTCTATCCATGTGGGCAGAATGTCTCAAAGGATGTGAAAATATGGCACAGGGAAACAACAGCCAGGCAGGTGGAGGGGATGCCCGAGCTCACAGACACAGGCTGAGCAAAACCCTGGCTGGGCTCAGAAAGCTCTGCAGGGGAGAAAGGAATAGCAAGCCCCTGTGGCAGGCAGATACCTGTTGCTGGCCATGCCTTTGCAAAGGGAGGGTTATTGTGACACTCACTGGTGGGTATAACCATGTTTGAGCTGCTCTGCAGACAGCCGAGCAGCCTGTCCTACCAGCCTGGCCCCTTGGACCTGGTGCTGAAGGATCAGCTCTGTCAGGGAGGGCATCTCTGACCTCGTGCTGTCCTGGTTTCACAGTGGGAAAAGCACCTCCTGAGCCCAAACTGCTCCAAACGCCACATCTTCCATCGCAAGGGCAAGGCTGAAGGATGTGGTTTCCTCCACGTATTACATTTCTCGGCAGAGGAACAGGGGCTTAGCGGAGAGGGAAAAGGAAAGAGGTACAAGAGCCAGACACTGAATCACACAAAGCCCAGTGCTTGAAGGGGTAGGCCTGGAGATGGGCTGAGCCTCAGCAAGATTAGCTCTGTATTAGACACCTGAGGACAACCTTCACTTGAGGAGGGGCTGTTGATGCTGGCTGGGCACAGGCCTGGATCTGGGCTCCCTTTTGTGCTTCTCTCGTGTTTACTGAAGGGCTGAGCATCCACGGTCACCTCACAGCACCTCCAGCCACTGCCTCCCTGCTTTGCACATCCCAGAGCAGCCCCCTGGGATCCCACCTCAATCAGTGCTGGAGCTGAGGAAGCCCTCAGCCCCTTCCAGCCTCAGAGGCCACCGGGACAGCCCCACGCTGGTCCCCGTTCCAGAGGCAGCTCCATCAGCTTCCATCCGAAACCGCGCAGCACTGCGGGGCTCAAGCACTCCTCAAGTACACGTCCGCCCTTCCCTAAGGCCCCTGGCTGCTTCCAGCACTAACACTGCACGCTGGTTTAACTGCCGGCTATTTCTGATCCCTCCATGCACCTTGCTCCTGCGGGCCGGCTTCGTCCGCAGCCGCAGGAGCCTGAAGATACGGCAGGGAAACCCGGAGCTGGACGTGGGTTCCCTTCGCTGCGGTGCAGCCCCAGCGCTCCGGTGGGCGCTGTCCTCTCCCCTCCCTTCCCTCCCCACAGCTCCCGGCCCAGCGAGGCCGCAGGAAACTCCCGCTTCCCCCTGATAAAGGCCGAGCCGCCGCGCTTCCGCAGGGAGCTGGGCCAGGCCTGGCTGCTCCTCAGACGAGGGGAGCACGGGGGAAAAGTGGAGAAGCAGTGACTAGGGATGGTGTCGAGTCTCAGCTCAATGTCACAGGGAAGGAATGGGTCCTGCTGCAGTGCTGAGCCCACAGGGCTAATCCCTAAATGCACCTTGGTCCGGAGGGCGGGCTCTGCCCAGGAGACCCACAAAAACTGGGGTCTGGGTGCTCATCCAACTCCGAGCACACTGCTCCTCCTCTTCCTCCCATTTCTCTTCCTCTCTCAACCTGCACTGTGGGAGCTGGCAAAGCTGTGCACTCTTCTTCCCACCTGTGCAGAGTTAGAGGTGCCCTGCTGCCTTCATTATAGCCCATCCCCTTGGCATTGAGCCTGCAGTGGTTTCCCTGTTTGCCCCACTTGTGCCTCTCTCATGCCTGCTTCTCCCTCTGTTCCCCGGTGGTTTTCCAGCTCTGGAGTGCACCAGACCCTTCCCAGCAGGTAGACGTATATGGAACCCAGCCAGCCCGGATGTGTACATGGATGGGGAACCCACATGCCAATGGGAATGCTGGGAAGCAGTGGGGGTGCCAGAGTGGTACTGGGAAGGGTAATATTCTTCTGGGGGCAAGCCTAAGGGAAGGCATGAGGAGCAGCAGTGGGGGACGTCTGAGGTGGTTAACGTGCATCCAACCCCATCAAGGATAACTAATGCAGCAGCAATGGGGACACCAGGTACTGCTGTGACGTTGCAGTGCTGCTCCGGGAAGGGCTGGGGCAGCAGCTAGGGAGGAAGGAGCGAGGAAAGAGCATGGGGACACCCAGGACTGGGAGTGCTGGGTGATGGCTGTGAGGAGGGTGCTGTGTCATGCCTGGGTGGGACATGAGCAGCCCGGCCTTGAGAAACAGGAGGTATTTCAGCTCACTGATTCACATGCCAAAGTCCCTTCTGGCCCCACAGTGAAGGAGATGTGGGGCAGAGTGCAGCAGCCATGCAGAGCTGGGGAGCACAGCCAAGCCCACGCCTGGCCTCCCAAAAGCACACTCGAGGCACTGAACCAGGGATGCTCATCTGGTTTGAGGGGCTGGCAGGGGTAAATCTGTGCCTCTAACTCAGCACCTCTGTGGAGCAGCCTTCCAGGTGCTTCCTGCCCCAGGAATTCATGTCAGTCCCCCACAAAGCCACTCTATGAATGTCACCAAAACCACAAGGGGCAGCTCTCGAGCCCAGCAGTGGTGGTGCAGGCAGACAGGGGTGCCAAGGCATCTCGCCATCCCTTATCAATTCATTTGCCAATTCATCGATTGATCTGTGCAGGAGGAGCCATGGTGCTCGCCTGCCGTTGGCTCAGTGCTGCAGCCTGTGCCAGGGCCCCAGACTCTGGTTTCCAAACCACTGTGGAGGGGAACCCCAGGGACCTGATGTCATTTCTGAGCAAAAACAATGGTTGGGCATTCTCCATGTCTCCGTGGGGAAAGGATGGGAAGAGGATGCTGGTGAATGGGACCTTGGGGAAAAGGAGTCCTGCTTGGACAAACACGCTCACCCCAGCTGGTAAGTGGGTTACCTGCCTGGCCATGATGTCCCAGGGCAACCGGCCCCGTGGCACACTGCTGGGTTGAACACTGGCTGGCACGCTGCTGGCAGGGCTCTGCAGGCTGAGGACAGACAGCACCCATCACACGTGTCAGTGATCCGGGATCACCCCAGCCCTGGCAGTGGCACCACATGCAGAGGGACTACATTAAAGGAGGAGGTGGATGAGCTTTGGCAGGGTGAGGCCAGGATGTGTCTGAGTCCCAGGGGATGGATCTTCACTCCCAGAGCAGGAGGCTGAGCCAGGGAAGCAGCACTCAGCACCCCTTCCGCTCAGCTCAGGAGGGGCACTGGGTGCTGGGCAGCCCAGCATGAGCACGGGGTGCTCCCGGCCATGCCACAGCATCCAGGGAAAGCAGCTCATCCACTCCTTCCCGGGGAGCAGAGGCTGCTGGGGGCCGCGGCCCTGGCACGGGGATGCCGGTTGCTCCCTCCCACAGCTTCCCCTTTTCTCAGAAAGCCTGGAAACCAAAGGTGAAAGAAGTGGGTGGAAACTCCGCGCGCTGCCGGCCAGGAAGAGCAGTGAGTAAGCCAGCGGCGATATTTAACAGTGCCTCCGGCCCCGCTGCTCGCACTCGCCTCGATGGAGCCGGAGCTGACGGGTGAGTGCCGGGGTCACGCTGCTGACACAGGGGGGGTCTGCGCCGGAGCGGGGGGACCGGTGCGGTTGCATTGTGATCGCTTTGCTGCTGCTGTCCCCAGGGAGTCAGAGCCCGGCGCTGCCGAGGGCAGCTCTCCCCGCATGGAGCAGCGGGAACACAGCTCCTGGCTGTGGGAAGCGGAGAGGATGTGCCAGACCCCACGATGGGGGCACGAGCATCTTCACGTCTACCGCTGGCTTTTGTGGTTATCTGCAAAGCCGGACCCGTTCTGCTGATAACGTTAAAGGGCAGGGGACGGGAGGCATGGGATTATGCCTGCAAACTTCCTTCCCCGGCAGGCAAAGTGAAACCCCCTGCGTTAACAGCCCGTGTGGCTCCGGTGCCTGGGCAGCACCCACTCAACCACTGCTTGGCCCGGGGCATGTCCTGGCTAATGAATAACTCCTGGGCACTGCCGCCTTTTAAAGCAGTGAATGGTTAACCACTGAGTGGTGGTGGGAGCAGGTCCTGGCAAGGAAACCACGTCCCTTCCCGGAGCAGCCCCTCCTGCTTCATCTCCCCCGGGAGCGAAGGAGAGGGGAGCTCTCCTGCCTGCCCTGTGTGCCCCATGGGAGGGAGCAAAGGAGAAAGCCAGAAAGTGCTAAATGCGACCTCAGATGCGCTGCTCTCCGGGAGGTGGGGTTGCCTATGGGTGAACATCTGCTTTCCCATGTCCTCCCATTACCTCCAGCCTGGCTTGCCATGGGGCAGTGCATCGGTGTGGCCATCTGATGTGCAACCAGGGCAGGGCCAGGCTGTTCTGCTGGGGTAGCTTGCCTTTGCTGATAGCATTTCCCCTACTTGTTGTGGAGAAAGGCAATGGGGGGTTTGCAGGGGTGACATAACCTCGTGGAGAGGGGGTTGTCGGATATATGGGGCTGGGGCGGGGGGGGTGCCTCCCTGGGGTGACTCCTGCAGCAGCAAAATGTACCTGTGGGTGCTGTTTGGGTCCCCTCCTGCTCACTGCTGGCCATTTCCATTCACTGCTGCCGTGGGGCCTTGGAGCCTCCTGCCCCAGGAACAGTGGCTGTGAGGGGCACAGTGCAGCACAGAAAACCCCGCAGCAGCAGTATCCTGCTGGTACCCGCTTGCCTGGGGTGCCTCTTGACTCACCAGCATTTTTGGGCTGAGGTCAAGAGCCCTGAGGAGCTCTCAGCTTTTTGGCTCCTGTGCCCATCTTTTCCCTGGTACCTGCCCCTGGGCATGTGTGTCAGCTCCAACAGGCCAGCACCTGGTTGCTGGGGTCAGCATCAGGATCTTAAATCCAGACCTGTCCCAGTGGCAAGACAAGCCTGGTACAGGCAGCCACAGAAGGGGATGTGTACCACAACCAGCGTGGGCACCCACATGCTCCGAGCCAGGCAGAGAGGAGGGTATCAGCAGTGCAGGGTGCTAAGGGGACGCAAATCACAGCAGGGCTACGAAACCCCCACCTGCACAGCAGCAGCTGGGCTGATGCAATCCTCCCCAGCGCTGCACTGGGGCAGTGGGCTTGCCCCATGGTCAACCCATAGATGAGCGCTGCATCCTGACACCCCCTCAACCGGGCACCTCCACACCAACAAAACAGCCAACACCCAGATGGGCTCGATGTCCATTCACCCTGGTGTTACCCAGCACCCTGCTCCAGTGCAGAACAGGGCTAGGGATACCCCCAAAGACACAGGGACAAATCTAGCCCTGGTCCTGTCTGGCTGCAGGAACGTGGGGCAAAGCTGGAGATGGGAACACCAAAGAGAGAAGGCAGAGCCCAGAAGTGTGCCTGGCACACACAATGCATACAAACATACACGAGCATCCCAAAACCACCACGGAAGCAGCCGCTCTCAAGAGAAGGGGTGGGTCTGGAAGCAGGAGGTTGGGTAGAGCAGTCCCTTTCCCACTGAGTAGCAGCAGGACCCCAGCACCCCTGGAGGGGGGTGGCAGCCTCCTTCACCCCATGGCTGCCTGTGGTGCTGTGCCCACATTGCTCCCCTTGCCTGCGGCCTATTGGTGCTGTGGATGCTATGTGGTGGGGACGTTGCTTGCAGGAACAGCCAGGAGTGAAAGGAAAGAGCTGGAGCTTGTCTGAGTTTGCATTTCAACCCCTCCTTTCCCAGCTTGGCCCCCATGGGCTTCCCATTGCAGCCGGGTCAAACAGTCTTTTGGCAATGGGGTGCCCCAGCACCCACAGGCAGGATGCCAGCAGTAGCTGCTGGAGCTGTCCCTGCCCCATCTTGGGGACGGCAGGGGCACTGGGCATGGTGGGACACATGCAAGGCAGCCACTGAGCTGTTCCACAGTGCCCCAGTATCCGCTTCACCTCCCTGGGGTCACAGAGCAAAGGAAAGGGATCACTCCTGAAGCACCATCAGGAGGGCTTGTCAGGGTTGCTCCCCATCCTGCTCACCCACCTATCTGCTTGAAACCCTTCCTCTTTCTTTGCAAATCAGCCTATGGAGGAGGATGGGGAGGAAGGCTTTTCCCTCACCTTCACCTTTTGGCTCCTGGAAGCTAAGGGCTGAAAGTGGGTGGCCGGCACTTTGAACAGCATCGATCCTTCAACCCTTTGGTGGCAAATGCCTCAGAGAGGAGTTTTACAGCTTAAAACTTGAAGCACAAAGACTTTTCATGTATTTAAACAACCAGTGACTGCCAGGCAACCACCCCATGGCCAAGGAGCAGCCCAAAGCATCCCATTCCCTGCCACCCATCACAGGCTGTTCCCAACCATCTGTAGCACATCTGGCAGGCTCCTGCCCTGTTCCCTTGCACTGGTGCCTGCCTGCAGAGCAGGGTAGAAGTTGGGGGGGTGGGCTCAGAGCTATTGATACCCCTCTGCTACACCACTGAGGAACAGCACCATGCACAGCCAGTCCTGAGCCCCATCTCTGACCCCAACGACCGGCTGCAGGCAGGGGGACCCTGGTGTCAGGCTCTGCTTCACCCCATCTCCCTTCACTGCTGATGCATGTGGTCCCTGTGCATGCAGGGACCTGCAGCCTGGGACCCCACAGCTTCTGCAGTGGGGTTTGGCTCCCCTGGGACACCCATCGGGATGGTGAGTTCACGCTGCCCCGGTTGAACTCGGGTTCCCTGCAGATGGATTAAAATAGAGCCCCAGGCCAGCGGTTGAGCAATCCTGGAGCGAGCTCCTCGCACCGACAGTTGCTCGGTGCTTCCCCCATCGCAGTTTCTGCCCGTGCTCCAGTGTGTCATTTCCCGTCTCTTCTGCTAATCCATCAGACCCAAGGGCTCCCCTCCTGCACTGCCAGCGTGAAGACAAAGGGCTGGAATCCTCTCCCAGCAGTTACTCCTGCCCAAGCCGCTCTGAGCCACTGCAGTCACAACTGTGTTCAAACTATTGCCAAGCCAAAAGAAGCCTCTCCCTGCTTTCCAGCTATCAGCTCCATCCCCGGGGGAATGGCTTTAAACTGACAGAGGGGAGATTAGGATTAGACACTGGGAAAAGATCCCTCACTGTGAGAGTGCTGAGGTGCTGGCACAGGATGCCTGTAGAAGCTGTGGCTGCCCCGTTCCTGGCAGTGTTCAAGGCCAGGCTGGATGGGGCTTGAAGCAACCTTGTTCAGTTGAAGGTGCCCTGCCCATGGCAGGGGGTTGGAACTGGATGAGCTTTAAGGTCCCTTCCAGCCCAAACCAGTCTGGGATTCTATGGAAATGAACATCTGCTGAGAACCAAGGCTGCTCAAATCTGCCCCACAGCACCTCTGTGGCTGCTCATGGGGGTTCCCGCATGTCCCCTGAGTCCGCCCCTCCACACACCTGAGCTTTACAGCCCAAACCAGTGTGTGGGGGCAGCGGGCAGCAAAGGGCACATGCATAGTTGTGGGATACAACAGCCTGTCCCACACTGAGACTGATCCCTCCCTGCATCCATTCCCTGAGCTGCCTGGAAAAGGCCTTTCGCAGCTTCATTTTAAGCAGCAGAATTACCCTCTGTCCTTTTGCAGATCCACACGGAGATGCTTCAGTGCACCTCGTGCACCACCCGTTGTATCATGAGCTGCACAAACCACTTCCATCCATCAGCTGCTGCCTCCCAGTTCAAGGGGCTCCTATGAACATTGGTTTCAGCATGAATGGAGCAGAGGGACAGTGCCTGGAAGCACTGGGGTGCTCCCACAGGGCTGAGCATCCCCCCCCCTCACAGCTGCACCCGTTTCTTAGATACACACGTGGAAGGAGAGCAGTTTAGGCTAAGGGATGTGTTACTGCAGTGCACAGAGCATATCTGTAGATGGGATTCCCAATGCATCAGTGAATACCAGCCCAAACCGGAAGGAATGGTATTTCTCTTCCAGCTCCAGCAGGTTTACAGAGCTCAGGGCTGACCTGCAGCTTTGCAGCGGCTCCCAATGATAGGACAATACGTGGAAGCAGTGGAAAAACCAGCAGCCAACTTGAGCAAAGTTTCCAAGGAAAGCCACGGCTGCGCACGCCGCCCCTGGAGCGGAGTGAGAGGTGCCAGAGCCCTCTCCTTGCAGTGGCTCCCAGCTGTAAAAGCCTGTGTCAGCACAACGCCTGCACCATCGGAGACACGATGAGCTCTCTGCTATTCCCCCCCTTTGCAGATGGAGAATGCAGCCGGCCGGAGCCAGGGGAAGCTGACTCGCACTGGCTGCTTGGCTCTGAGAACTGAATTCCATAGGCGTTAAAGCTTCCCAAAATGCCCTATGGATTCAGTTCTGCAGCTGGGCAGCAAATGAGCCTCAATCCTCCAGGAAGAGAATGGGACTGAGTATTGCTCCTGCGCAGAGACCAGAGTATGGATGGAGGTGAGTTACAGCCACCATGGGAAAACCACTCAAGGCAGTGGCAGTTTGTATCAGGCTTTCTCTCAACCCCAACTACAATAAGCTTTCTTCCATCTGGAAGTGAAATGGCACTTGGGACAACAAATGTGTTGCTACCTCCTGATGCACTGCATGCAATTGTAAGCCTCTGCTAAAAATACACATGGTCAGAACAACAGCCTGGGCGTGCCCAGCCATCTCCTGTTCAGAGTCCAGGCAGCAAAACCAAACAAAGCTATGGAGAAGATAAACAGGGCAGGATGGGTAAAGCTAAGGGTTGTGCCCGCTCTCTACCCATGGGCTGCAGAGATGTCCACTGTAACACAGTGCAAAGCTGCACAGGAATTTATTGGCTGGAGGAGTGGCTTTTAGGATAGATTATGCAGGTCCTGGTAAATTACATAGCACCTGCTCATCACCATAGGGCAGATCCCATGCTCCCCGTCACCTCACCTAGAAGAGCTGGTTTGCATCTGCTCAGAATCCCAGCTAAAGCAGCCCCTTCCCAACACCCTTCTAATGGCAGACAGCATGCAGCTGACAGCCCAAGCTGTGCCCTGAACCAGGCACAGAATGGGGGAAAAGCTGCTTCCAGCACCCCAGCAGAGCACTGCACTGCCTGGACAAGGATCCAATGCACAAACTACTGATGCAACACTACTGCCTGTAGGAGCAGTTGCTGCTGCTAGAAGGACAGGGAGTGCAACACCCTGCAATGCTATGCTGCAGCAATACATCTAACTGCACATCTCCACCTGGGCAAGATGCTCTGCTTTGCTAAGGGAGATAAAGAGACAGGAATTGCTGCTTTTTTTTCCTATGGTGGATAACTAAAGGTGTAGCTGATCAGCCACCAGTCATTAGTGGAGGCCTTTTCCAGCCCATTCAACAAGTCTTACAGCCACTCTTGCAACACAGCTAAACAGTGTCAGTTTGGTCTGAGGTTTCTGCAGCAGTTTTTCTGATTCAGCCCTCTTGCAGCTTTATCTGGCAGCAGAATTAACCCATTTCCAAGAAGCTGATGGGTGAAGGGGAAATTCAGATAGTTAATGAGACAAATTGCTGCATTAATTTTTAGAAAATCCACTTGCTTTGACTTTATAGCAACTCGGACCCTCCAAGAGCTAAGTTCACCCTCACAGGCTCTCCTTTGCAGACCAGGAGCACACAGTTACCTCCTGCATTATTAGGCCCTTCTCCCGTATGGCATGTCAGGGGGAGATTACAAGGAGACAGAGCAGACCTGTTTCTCCTGTACACCCTAGGAAGTCCCTACTAGTCCCCAAAGATGAAACTGTCAGGCAACAAACTGGGGCAAGGTAGGGTACTGCCAAGCAGAGCAAGCAAAATAACCCACCATAGCTGGGCAAGAGCCATGGCAGACCCATCCCTAACTCTGCAAAAGGGTATCAGACCAATTTGCAGGTTGTTCACAGGAGAGATAGCTGCCAGGCAGCTAAAAGCCAGGAATATAACACATTTGCATTTGACATTTTTATTATTTATAATCATTTAAAAGGTACAGAAGTTTACAAGTCAGACCCAGCCCCTCACAGCCCTCCGGGTTTCAACCACAACTTCCAAGAGACCAAGCTGTGACAGTGCTGTGGTTCACAACTCCAGTAACCTCACTGGAGAGCCAGCACCTCTAACCAGAGCTGAGCAAGACCCAGAGGAGGGTCTCAGCAGTGATTCCAACAAGGACACGTGGCCAGGAGAACCAAGCACCAGGTGACCAAATGTAAGAGGATGGGGACACCAGGATCTTCTGCAAGCGTGTAAGGAAATGCTGCATACAGGCATTACACAGTGATTCAGTACAATGGAATGGTCATAAACAGCAGTGACAAGACATGCAAATATTTGCTCTTTACAGTGTTCAAGAACCCCTTTCTCCTCTGGGACTTGCACTGCCCCCAGCCTGGAAGAAATCCCACTTTGATCTTATTGAGTGCCAGGAAAGGAGCCAGCTTCCAGGACATTCCCTTGCACGGGGTAGGAAGAGGCTGAAGTTTTCTGATGAAGGGCTGCTGCCTGGAGATGCCCCCACAACCAACCAGTGGAAATCAAACACATTTTAAAGCCAGAACCAAAGAGCTGATCTGACAGACAAGTGCCACGTGGTTTCTTCACAGGGCAGGCACTGTGCAAACAGGGTAAAGTTGCTGTAAGCTTGTGAAGGATGGGGAGCAGTTAAAAGCCAACAGGGGTGGTGGCATTCATTGCTTGTGCTACTTGCCAGCTGCACCAAGGAACAGCTGCCAACTGGTTTCCACAAGGGCTCTGAAGCACTGGGTGATGGACTACATCAATGTCTCGGTTTCTTTTTCTTCTTACTCTTCCGGTCCTCACTGCTGTCATCTGCCTCACTGGCACTGGGGGTCACAGCCTGCTGGATAACTTTCTTTTCCACTGCATATTCCTGCTCTCCTACCTTGGGGTCCCCCTTTACCAAGAACTCCCCTTTCCTGTAGGTTATAGAGACACTGGTACGTGGGTAGGTGCCATAAACCCTTCGGAGATCATCCTTCACAAATGCTGGGAGATCTTTCCTTGGTCCAAACACCTTTGCAAGCTTCCCCCATTGAAGTTCTCCTCTCATTGTGAAGCCTTCCGGCCATGTGTCACGATACTGATCTGACCTCTGGTAGGCAGCATAGGGATTGTAGTTTGCATAGGGATGGTAGAGAGGGATAGGGACCATGGGAGGGAAGTGCCAGGCATAGTACGGATGGAAGTAGGGACGGGAGGCACCATAGAGATGGTGATACTCCACCTGACCTCCCTCATAGTCAGGGTGGCTGTTCCGGTCCACCACAAAGGCGATGGGTCGGCTGTAGAAGCTGTGCATGTGGATGGGAGGGAACATCACAGGGCTGGTCATGTCTTCTGCTCTCCCAGTCCGCAGTGGTGGGTAGGTGTAGGCAGAAGGTGGGGTCACAGCTGGGTAATACTCCCGTGGCACAAAGCCAGACTGGTACATGGTACAGGAGCTAGGGTTTTACACAAGGGATGTTTCTTTAGAACAGTTGCTGAGCCTCAAAAGCTGCGAGGGGAAGAGAAACAATTTACATTGGTTATATACATCCCAGAACCAGGCTGAATAAGGAGATATGCTTAGCAGCACTGTAAGGATACCAACTAATAAAAGATGCTCCCTGCAGCTTGCAGGGCAGTAACATGCCAAGAACAAGCAGAGCCTTATTGCCAGTGACTGCCTGATAGCTGTTCAGCAGGACTCCTCACTTAACCCACCCACATCTCACAGTTAAAAAGAGTGGGAACCAGCTGGCATAGAAACCACTGCAGCCAGAAGTGATGGCCTCACATCCTTGTGACACATCTGCGCTGCTGGGAAGCAGCAAGACAGGCTACAAGAAGCTGGAGAGCCTTGAGCGGGCATACAAATGGGGAAGGCAAGCACCAGTGAAAGATGCTTGCTTTGTTTTTCAGCTAAGAGGCAAGAGGACACAGCCCAGCCCTGCTGCAGTAACTTCATGTCCTTGCCCAGACAGCAACATCTTCAACTAAAAGAAAAAAAAGCAAGCTTCAACCGTCCTTGACTCTCTCCCCATCCTCCCAAAGCACTCCTACTGCCATCTGCAAACAAGAGCTGCGCCTGCTCTTTGTTTCTAGAGCAAAAATCCAGCTGCATCTACATTTCCTCTGATGAAGTTCTCACGTAAAAGCATCTCGCTGCAGTCTCACTACTTACTCATTCACATTTAAGTGTGCATTTACCTTGAGAAACTCTGACCCACAGCTGAGTTTGTTCCTAGCCTGCCTTCACCAGACAATCCAAGCATCCTCCAGGGCATTAAGCAATGTCCTCCCGTGACTCATTATCCTCTCCCCAAGGGCAGGAAGGAAAGCTGTACATAGCATTGGGTTTTTTAAAGGAACCTTGCTACCAGAGTCAGGAAAAGTCCATGCACAGAACTAAACCAGCAGGTTGTTGTCCCCATTCCCCCTCAACCCCCCAGTTTAGATCCTTCAGGCTCTTTTTGCTTCAGCCTTAACCATACACTTGCCTCTTGCAAGTGTTAACCAAGATGGTGAAACTCATCCCTCAGCTCTGTGCCTTCCCCCAGCCTAACAGGAAATTTGGCAGTCCCCTAATAACCTGCCTGCCACAAGCAATGCTGGGTACTACACAATGGAGGTTGTTCCTGTCCCTTGAGGCTCATAATCTACACTAGCTCAAGCCTGCTTTTGCCATGGGTGCAGAGCTCCAAGTCTATCCCTGCACAAGGAAACAGCACTATTTAGACAAGACCAGGCAGTACCCTTAAACCAGACTTGTAGTCTAGCAGCCAAAGCCCATCATAACCATCACCTCCTCAAACAGGAGGAAAGGAAAAACATACAACCTACTTCATTTAGAGCCATTACAAAGAAAGTAGAGGCTGAAATGGCTTCCAGGCAAGTCAAGTAAATGTGAATAGCTTTGACTGAGGTCTCCCCAGCTCATTGGCAGATTGGGAAGGAGGAGAGCAGGTACTGTGATATTTCCTGCATTTAGCCCAGTTTACAACAGAGCATATAGCTCAGGCACTCACCACGCAAGGACAGGGCTGGGCTCTTCTCTAGGCTTGATGGCTCCTAAACATCTCTTTCCAAATTTGCCCGACTGTTCAGAAAAGGTTGAGAGCTGAGCCTCCTGCAGCTCCACTGCACCCTGTTTGAGCACACCTCATTATACCTTTATTGAGAGGATACCATTAGCTAGCTCCTTAACATCTTGCCTGCCTAACTTGCTCAGAGCCACCACAGAAATCCAGGGGGATATTGTATGTCAATAGCAGCATGAGGTGGGTAAATGGAATAAAATGATCTCTTCTTAAAAGCCAGTCTCAGTGCCTCTTTTAATCCAGTTCAGCCCTGCATCCCTACTGAGAGCCACAGGATCACTTCCATGGACCCTTTGTGTTTCAGAGCAAGTGGTCTGTACAGAGCACATAGCTATTGCAGCCATTGAGGGGAAACAGTGCAAGCAGCTTGCCCCTCCTGCTTCATGCCTGTTTAGGACAGCCCTAGAGAAGCTGTTTTCTCATGTAGTTGATCTCCAGCTCTTGCTCCAAAGCTACAGATGGTCCATCTACCACCAGTGCTCACAGGTCTCCC